GCTTGCCACTTTCCGCCATGAGTAGAAGCAGCCTGAGGCCTGTGCCATATACAGCTTTCCCAGAATTGTAAGCCACATAAACCTCTGTTCTTTATAAATTACCCAGTCTCAGGTATTTCTGTTCTAGCAACACAAAATGGACTAATACACACATCATGTTGTTGGCAGATTCCAGTTGCTTGCGGTTGCAAGACTGAGGCCATGAGCTCCAACAGGCCACCTCTCTGCATAAGCGGTTCACACGTGGCTGTTTTTTTCTTCAAGGCCATCAGGAGAGGACCTCATTAGGGAAGGCTTGGATCCTCTCTTAAGGGCCCACCTGATCATGTCAGGCCTGTCCAGGATATTTTCTCTTCTGATTAACTCAAAGTGAATTTCTTGGGGACCTTAATTGCATCTGCAACATCCCTTCACCTTTTGCCATATTCTATTAGTTAGATGCAAAACACAAATTCTGCCCACAGTCAGGGAAAGGAGATTACACAATAATGTGGATGTCACGGGGCAAGAATAATGGAGGCCATCGTAGAATTATGCCTATGATAGATAGAAACATGGATAAAAGCACAACTTCTCCGTGTTCAGGTCTATTACCCATTTTGATTTTTGAAGTATGTGAATTTATTACTTATTAAAAAATAAAATAAAATTTAAAGTCTTTGAAACTTTGTATTTGTCTCAGACTTTTTCTTTTATGGCAATGATCACTTTGTGTAGTCGTTCTGTCCCTAAAATCACTGAGTCATTATCAGGTCCTGGTTAAGAACATGGACTCTAGAGCTAGGCTGTGTAACCTTGGGCAAGATATTGAATTTCTCTGTGCCTCAGTTTCCTTTTCTTTAAAGTGGGGCTAATTATAGTACATAATCAGGATGTTGTGAAAACTAAATATATCAGTATCACTTAGACACTACTGCCTTACAATGCAAAATCTTAGTGGCATTCAACAATAAGCATTTATCTCTGGCTCACACAAGTGTGGGTGGATGGAATGGCTGTGCCAATCTCAACTGTGCTTGGCTAGACTTGGCTGTAGGTTATGGGTTTGCTTCCTTCTGCTCCATTCTCATTTTTCTGGGACTAGCAGGCTATACAGATGAAGTGTTCCTTATGGCCATGAAAGCAGCTCTTTTGATGGTGGCAGTAGGCAGGTTACTCAAATTCTCTGAACCTTTTTCTTTGCAGGTAAATGGGTGTCTTAGTCTGTGTTCCCTAGAAAGCAGGGCCTCAGACAAAGGCTTTTGTATTACTACTTTGTTAGGAAGTGCAACTGCAGGGAGCAGAAGCAAGAAAGTGAGGAATGAGGAGCGAATGTGCTGTGCAGTTTGCTGCAGCTGAGTGCCACTGATAAGCTGTATAAACCATCTCAAAGCAATCCATCTGGGGAGAGAAAGGGGAACTGTTATCCACCAGCTTGAAGTGCTAACTCCTCCCCACTTTTAGCTTCCCCAGATGAGCCTGATGGGTAGTGCTGCCAGGCTGTACTGCACCATGTGATGAAAGTCCATGTGGAATTGGCTCAGCAGTAGCACCTACTTTGCAAGGTTCTGGTGGGGGTTACTGGAGAACATGTCTGGCACATCAGTCAATAAATAAATGGTCATTGTTATTATTAGGAATAGGTATAATGGGTTTCCAAAATATCCCTTTCTTTCTAGACAAGGTGATTTTGAAGTCTACGTGGAAAAATAAGCAAGCCCCCCAAAAAACAAAAACAAAAACAAAAAAACTAGGAAAGCTTAAAAAAAAAAAGCGACAATGATGTATACAGTCTCAATAGTTTGAAGAGTATGATACTGGTGCATAAATACACCATGAGCATATATTTTCATGGACAAGGCTATTCATTATATTTATATATTTATTATAGCATTATTTATAATAGCAAAAGATTGAAAACAACCTAAATGTCTTTCAATAGAAGATTTTATCGTATGTTTATCATACAACAGAATATAATGCAGCTGAAACAAAGCACGAAGATGTTCTTAAGTACTGATGTAGAATGCTCTGTAACACCAATTAAGTGGAAAAAAAATCAAGATACAAAATAGTGTGATTAATGTGCTATTATTTGCATAAAAGGGAAGACAAACATATTTTCATATTTGCTTAAATATACATTAAAAAAATCTCTGGATGGATATCCAAGAAAGTAATATTAGTGATTACTTATTTGTGTGTATGAGTGTGTATGCAGATACTATTTGGTATCTGTTACTGCAAAACAAATTACTCCAAATTTAGCAGCTTAAAACAACAAATATTTATTATCTCACAGTTTCTGTAGGTAAGGAATTTGAGAATGGCTTAGCTGGATGTTACTGACTCACAATCTCTCACTATGTTTTTGTCAAGAAGTTGACCAGGGTTGTAGTTAATTGAAGGCTTGATGGGGCAAGAAGATCTGCTTCTAAGATGAGTCACTCACATGGCTGTTGGTAGGAGGCATCAGTTCCTCCCCACCTGGACCTCTGCATAAAGCCACTTGAATGTTTTCAGGATATGGCAGCTGGCTTGATGGCAGCACAGTGAAGGGTAGAGGGATGGGGGGGGGGGGGGGGGGGAAAA